CCTCGCAGACACCTTGTGGAAACCCAACTCGTTGACAATGATGTTTTGAGTTCGTTCATAAGAGATGCCTATAATCTCGGCTATCTCTCTAATTTTTAATCTGCGGTCTCAAATTATTAAATCAAGTACTTTTTTTAATATTTTCGTCAGTAGTTGATGTCGAAGGCCTTCCAGAGCGGGGTTCATCTTTCACACTCTCTCTACCACGCTTAAATTCTGCTATCCATTTTTTGACGGATGAATATGACAGAGCACAATCGCCTAATGTACTGACCATGTCATTATTGATGGCTTTTGATGATAGCCCCTTCTTATGGAGGTACTTAATGACGGCACGCTGCTCGATTTGCTCCATTCGCGGAAATTATGTCCGATTACTTTGTTAATAAATTTATAAAATCACAACTAATTATCGCACACGTTTCGAACTTCACACAATGAACTAGTCTGAACTGAACTAAATAATGTGCGTAGATTTGATTTTTAGAATTGAATGGATCTGTGTTAGGCCGAGTACTTTTCAATCCACCTAGGTATAAACGGTGGTAGCTATGTGAGTGATTTAGGCGGATTTTGCAATCACCAGGTAAATTCATTTCAATAATTACAAAAAAAATTAGAAAATCAAAGCAACAAACCCCTTGTGACCGTGCATGCTATAAAGTGCTCGAAACGTAGAGAATATAAAATAAGTTAAGGGGAAATATAATCTCAAATGGCTTAGCAAGATTCTTCGTTATGCCGAAAATATTGCAGCATTAATTTTGAAATAAATATATGGTAAAGTTGAGGATTAATGTTAAGGATTATGTTAGACGAAAACACGATTTCCTAAAATTTTCTCGATAGAAAAAAAATCCAAATTTACCTCCAAAATAAACAATAAACCGCTGTTATTCATAAAATACTTTAAATAAGATCATGAAACTTTGCATACTAACTGAACTAACTATAAAGCAGTGCTTATGTTATTTACTTTTTTTTTAATACCATTATTTTCACTGTAAAAAGAAATTACCTAAACTATCGGCCACTTGAAGCGTGATTCCTGTCGCACGGTCACTTCGCTTCGGCCTTTGAACGGGGAGGTTGTGTCGCTTACGACGTAAAATTAAAATGGGAAATAACCGTAATAAAAATAAGAAGCGACTGGTTTGGCGTTAAGAAACAGACATAAATATGATAAACCTAATGAAATAAGTGTCTGACGACCTTTCTACTTACAGTATTAGTGATTACAAACATGTCGGTACATAGCATACGACGCGCGGGGAAGTGGGGACGAAATTAGAATTTGAGCTGACTTACTCTATCCCCTTAATATATGTGGTGGAATCCATAAAAACTAGTTTTATTTAAATGCGTAGTGTTCGCGTAAATATAACAAATATATGAAATCATAATGAAACGTGACTACAATTCGTGACATATAGGTATAACAATAATCGATAAAAACTTAAAATAACAGTTCCCAGCTATTAGCTGTGTAGACCGGCGTAAGAATATCCACTAGCCCATATCAGTAAAAAACTGCGATTGCCAAGCCGCTTGCCTGGAGTGGCAACTATGGCAAATATCCCCCCAATGAGGCAGTCTTTGAGGGAGGCCTATGTTCAGCAGTGGACTTTAATAGGCTGTTACGGTAACAGTTTACAATGAACGAATAATAATGTTTTCATAATCTTACACTGTTTTCTATACATGCAAGTCTAAGATGAGACTCGCGTGCGTCAAATTATTTTTTCTTACGTAACGCGTAATATGTACCGAAATATAACTCTACCACGTAAATTTGTCAAGTTTTAATTTAAGAAAAAGTTCGGTTTTACATTTTCGGACGTCGTTAAATTTCCAACGTTTCAACACCCGAATATGGAAACAGGAACTGACGAAAGCCTCCTTTTCTGGTGTAAGAAGCACGACATGAGAAACGTATGACATGTTAAATGCAATGATTTTTTTTGGCCTGTGAGTTAAGATTTTGAGTAGGTATCATCAGTCATTGCAGTCCTTCATGAGTACATCATCGACTTTCCCCAAGGCACACCACAAAACAAAATTACGTACGTTTATTATTTCTTTAATTAGGCACATATGGGTTTTGTATTTAATATATTTTGAATTCTTTAATAATAAAATTCTCGAAAAATAATGTTAAATATAATGCTGATTTAGTCAATTGGTTTAATGTCAATAATTTGCATTTAAATGAAACTTAAACTAAATGTATGAGATTTGTAACTACGAATGGCAAACATTATTGATACCACCATTTTTCTTGGAATCACACTAGACGCAACGCTTTATTAGGGCCCCATATATCAAAAATAGCTAGCAGACTTCTGCAGCATATGTTAAAAAAAGATAAGGTTGAAACAGCTAGAACAGTTTAGCTATTTCCATAGCATAATGTCGTATGGTATTTTGCTACGTGTCCCCATAGCAAACGCACTTGCACGACTGACACTGAAATTATAATATATTTTTTACTGAAGAGGGCCGTTAAAGCAATATATGATTTAAAACCTGGAGTCGCTGACAAAAATTTAAGGAAATTAATATATTATCTCTGGCCTCTCAATACATTTATAAAAATGTAATGTACGTACACAAAAATAAAAGTAGTTTTGCAAAAATAAGTGGTATTCATTCCGTAAATACTAGGAACAGACACAAGCTAGTAGTACCAGTTACTCGACTCCACCGAGACAGTAATTCATTATTGGATCGATGTATACGCTTTTACAACAAAATCCCAGAAAATATACAAAATTTGACTTGCACAAAGTTCAAAAACTAACTAAGTTTGTATAAAAAAGGGTTATTATAATATTAAATAATTTATGGATGATAATAACCCCTGGGAAGGGTGATCGCTACCAAGCTATTGCTAATTTGTTTTGTGTTGTTAATTGTAAGCTCTTATTTAAATAAAAATATCGCGCTGGGTTTCTTGCTGGTTCTAACCAGGATAGAGGTTTTTTTTTGCGAACCAGTGGTAAAAAAAAGTGACTTTCAATAAGTATTATTTATAATCTTATATTGAATGACAAAGTTTCTGTTTCTGTTTCTGAAAGATTGAAATAAAAATCGTACTTATACGTATTTCTAATTTATATACTAGAATCAGCTTTTTAAGTATTAAAAAAATTGACTCTTGTAGATTTGTAGACAATTATACAGACGTCAAGCAGTTGTCAGACGTTCCGCTTGGCGTGCTCCTGACAATGACAAGGCTTGTCGAGAACGAATGAACTGGAAAGCCTGTCTTATAAAACGCGTCTATTATGATCTGTTAGTTTCTTTTAATAAATAAAATCATTTTATGATTTTCAAAATCACGACGACAGGGTTCCAATCGATTTTGATCTTTGTTGGGGTCTATTAAAAGAGAACACTTGTAATTTTTAATTTTAATTTATATTTTGTGTGAGACACGACAAAAATATTTAAAATAGAGTTTTTTCTAAATATATTTTGTACAACTACTAAGCCATAATATAATCGGAAGCTACTTTAAATACGGAAAAAAATATTTTTTCCAAATATTGTTGACTGCATTAAGTAGTGATCATTTGTACACTCTTTGACTGCAGCGACATAGCATTACTACGGTCTATGTCAGAACAATAAATAAAGTATCTTTAAAGCAATTACATACATACGTATGCAAAAGCACCCGAAAGCACCTTGGATCCCTATACCCAAGCTCTACACTGCAACAGAGAGAATATAAAATAGCACTCCTCATTCAATTCAACGTTAATACCAAAGAGTACATAATCACTACGTTTTACTTCACAACTAGCAACGTATGAAACGTTAGGAATAATACTAATTTAATTTAATAATGATAAAAATTTAAACACTTTTACTTTTATCACTCACTCGCCTGCCATGCAAACCGATTAAGGCCCTTTTTGTTGAAAAATTTCCGCTAGTCATGCAGAAACCTGTGTAAAATCATTAGAAAAATATATTAATGTTACTATTTTCCTATTGTTGTTCGAATTTGGGGTAAGAGAATTTATTGTAGACTTGTGCTTTTGATTGAAATTTATTACTAAAAGTCACGTAAGTGCACGTCGATGTGGTGGTACATCTTTACTGTTTCATGTTTGCATTGCAAATACAAAATTCTTATGTTTAACTTTAACCGATTTGATAATGAAATTCCCCTTTACTAATATTTCAGTTAAATATGTTACCTAAGCCTTATTAAGTTTTTAAATGAAATTAAATATTATAATTATAAAATTTAAATAGGTGGTATTAAATAAAAATTTGACTGCCTTGTTGACTGGTCGTAAGCACAACTGCTGATTATGTGGTCCCGGGTTCAAGTTAAGACTGGTATTCTGTGGTATTCTGTGACAGCGTCTTCCCCGATCGAGCTGACCGATTTGTGCTATAACTAGGTATAATATAGCCGCGGCTCTACAACGTATAATCCGACCGAATTCGATCTGCAGGGACATTATTTTATTATTAAATAAAGAATATGTACTTTAAGGAGCTGTCAATTCTTAAGAAGCGATTTTCAAACGATTTTTGCAAAACCATATCTATCACGCGTAATTTAAACTTAAACGTCCCGTTTTTGAGACATTTACGGAACGGCTATACTGCTTAAAACATTTTAGGTTGTAGCAGCTAGCGGCCATGATGGCCACTTACCATCAGGTGGACTGTTAGCTCGTTTGTCATTCTATGTAAATTTCTAAAACAACCAGACTAATATTCGATTGAGAGTTGTTAATAATAAAATCATGATTATCATTGTTATATACTTTAACGCAGAATAAAATTTGATTTAAATAAATATTATAAGTGCTAGATATTTTTTTAAAAAAACTAAGACATAATATAATATTCTCAGTCATTGGTTATGGAATAAAGTTGTTTCGGTAAAAAGCACTCATTTGACACAGTAAATGTATGTCCGAAACGATATATTCGTGATATATTTTTTCAATCCTCGTTATTATATTTGTTCGTAGAGGGAATGCATCTCAGTCCACATCGGCCAAGCTGGCGTCCAAATCGGGAATGCGTGTTGGGAGCTGTACTGCCTCGAGCACGGCATTCAGCCCGATGGCCAAATGCCTTCGGACAAGACCCTGGGCGGCGGAGACGACTCCTTCAATACATTCTTCAGTGAAACCGGAGCGGGCAAGCACGTGCCCAGGGCGGTATTCGTCGATCTGGAACCTACTGTTGTTGGTGAGTTTTACAATAGTTGTGCTTTCTAAACTCGAAATTAAATCTTCATTCAACAGAATTGATATACGAGTATGTGTGTGTGCACTATATAAACCGATCGGTTTTGCTATACGAGTATACGACTTCATTAGGATATATTTAAATAATATAAACAACGAGCATACTTACCATTTTCTTTATAGCCTAATCCCCGATGATACGGTAGGGCACAACTGTTCAGTTTATAGAGTAAATAAATTAATAGAAAAAAGTTAGTTCTAAATTATAATTAAGTATACTTATTCATGAAACCTGAACTAGCAGATCATGCGGTTAGAAGTTCAAATCACAGACGCAATTGATTCTTCAAAAGAGCGTGTAACTCATGTATTAGATTTTCTAAAGACTGTGATGAGATTTTTCATTTCTGTACCGCTGTTTGTAAATAAATCATAACTCAGTAACTACACTGGAGGACTTAGATTGAATTAACTGTCGGAAGAACGTGCCTTTAATTTGTTATATTATTTATTTATACTGTACTCCTATATATTTAACTTCATATATTACCATTTGCAAAAACTTCTGATTTGTGACTTATACATGTACTTTTTTTATTAGGAATAGTAAACTACTTAACCACTTTAGGAGTAATTCACTATAGTACCTAATCGAATGTCAGATTCGAACCCACGACAGGTCGAACTAGCAGTTGCAGTTCGTATCTTTAACTATTAGTGTTTCTTCCTCATCTCCTCTTTCATCGGTCCGGAAGGATGTTAACTTTAGCTGATGATAATATTATTTAAAACAGTCAAAGCAGGTAGGTACCTACGTCACGGTAATATTTATAGATAATATTACCGTGCCTACGTTCTGTTTATTTTTGCCACCGTTTTGGTTAAAAAATGCGGTTATGACTTTAATAATTATCCGTTTTAGAACTGTCTTCATCCATAAAATAATGCGGAAAGGTAAATGTACAAAAGTTGTCTCATTTATATATTTAAAACGACATATAATTTTAAACAATTTGAAACATACAAAATTAAAATCCATTGCATTTAAAAACACGCTCAGATACGAGTTATGAAAATTAACTTTATAGAGGAAAATAAATCATGATCATCATATCAACATCATGTAGATCATCATTACAGCCTATCCGAATCCCACTGCTGAACACTACTACCAATACATTTTCATACAGAGTGGCAGTCGTGGAAATCAATTATATAAATAATACTAATTTATTCGAACATATAAGTTTACGTGCTGCAGCTATTTTATGGTTGTAGCACGAATGAGTCGGCTCGACCGGGGAAGGAGCACGCTCTCACAGAATACCAGCGTGAAATAGTAGCTTAACGCTGATGCGTATGTAGGATGAGTTTAAAGAACTGGAGATCCTTTTTACTAGGCATGCTACTCGGGGGTGTCAACCTATCTTAATTCAAGATAGATGTAGATGTCACAACTCACAACGTACACTTAGCATCAGGTGGACTGTGTGCCCGTTTGCCAACCATTTACCAACCGCTTGCTAACCTTGTCAATTTTTAATCAATTTCTAACAAATGACTTAGAAAAAGATGAATTCCAAAATAATATACCGCAAGCTACAAAGTAAAAGTACGCAAAATGCTTCCAACTGAATCCTTGTAACGGAGTGGCCATTTTGCGCGGACTAAGACTTCTCGAAATCTCTTTCGAAATCGTTTCTCGTGCAACCACGCAAGATGCGAGGGACATTTTGGCAGAACTGCAAGATTCACCAATCTTAAGCTCACAAAACACTTTTTTCTCGTTTAAACCAACTTGTAAACTCCTTAGATTGTTACGAACTGTCAAAGTTGTTTAGCAAAGTGTAGTCTGCTAAACAAAAAAACCGGCACGGAGAAAGGGACAAACAATCACACCGCTCTGTCTCATTTCTATGCAAGATGTACTATGCGTAAATCTATCTTTTTCGTGTGCGAATGCGAAAGAAGGCGTCAATTTGCCTATAGGTTTCTCTGTCTACGTTTTTAAGAGTAAGTGATAGTTCACACAATCACCACGATACTAAACTAATTTAGCGCTAGAGTCGCTTTCAAGAGTACCAAACGTCATAATTCCAATCTCGATGGATCGGAATTATTTTCAAGAGTAAGTCGACTGGTTTTTCACATAGTCATTTTAACAATTTATTTTTTATTAACTAGTGCTTTATATTATTAATTATCTTCGTATAGGGGCGATGTAATCATCCATCATCCAATAAATCTGTCGCCAAAAAGCAATTATTTTATAGCATTGGGTGACAAACGAGCACACAGTTCACCCGACGGTAAGTGGATGCTGTGGCCCACAGACATCCACATTTAAAATGCAAATGCGTTGTCACCTCTTAGAACTAATATGAAATGCCTCGATGCCAGTAAAACGGGTCTTCGAATCTCTACACTCACCAAACGAAACACAGCACCATTGCGCTGCTATTTTATGCTGGTATTCTGTGAGAGTGTGGTCATTCCCTGGTCGTGCCGCCCCATTCGTGCTACACCTTTAATATAGCTGCAGCGTGGCTCTACCACCTAAAAAAAACATAATTCCCGCACTTCTGTGTTCCGGTGTGGGAATGAATGAAATATAAAAGCCAGTATTATAGAGGCCGTGAGGCATTGCATCCTATTCCTTAGCGGTGACAACGCATCTGTAGCGTTCGAAGTCGTTCGAAGAAATTGCAGGTGTGCATGGGCTGCAGCCGCCACTCACCATCAGGCGGACTCTAAGTTCGTTTGTCGGTTTACTTTTAGAAAAAAGAACTCCTCTGAAAGAAGTTCACAGATATACGTTTTCAGCTTTCATTCTTGAAGATTAAATCTAAATGCATTAAAATGTAAACTCGTTTTTCTTGTTTAAAAAAATCGCAAGTACTGGTCCTTCCTCAACGAATGACGTATATTTTAACAAATCATCACTGGATCTAGTGGAAGTCACCCTACATTTCGTTTACCAAGACGAGTCTCGACGAGGCAAGACGATTCTTTGGAGTTGAGGCTCTCAATTGTCATTGCCACTTCAGCTTACTGTTAAATATAATTTTAATATATGAGTATATAAATTACATGTCACGTTGTTTGTCCGCGATGGACTCCTAAACTACTTAACCGATTTTAATCAAACTTGCACACCATGTTCAATTTGGTCCAAGTTGAGAGATAGGATAGTTATTTTGCACATGTGTATGTGTGACCCACAATTTTTTTTTTGCGAATTTAAGAATTTTTAATAGGACATGACAAAAGGTCGTCGAAAAGGGCAGACCAACGTCTGGCTGGCAAGCTATTAAGTCCATATATAATATAGAATTTTTCATAGCTTTCTTATCTCAACAATTATTTTTAATGGCTCTCGGTCCCGTGACTCACCAGCGAGCAGATTCAGTTAATAGCGGAACAGCAACGCATGCAAATTTTTTTATTCCCAAAATAGCTGGGCATTAGCTATGCTTACTCAGACTTAATGACGCGGGATGAACACTTAGACAAAAAGTTAGGCGCAATTGTTTTAGGTTTGTCGTGTACTGAAATGAGTTAAAATTCGAGTTTATATTATATATAAGTTTTTTTTTAATTGTATTGGAGGTTATTTGTATAGTAACTTTAATAATGCTTAGAACTGATCCAATTTCAAAATTCCTAATTGCCTAATAATGGTTTCTTATCATATTTTGAAATGTTAGTAAACGTAGAAATGGCGTAAATGATTTTTTTAATTTTTTTTAATTTCTTAGTATTACATCATAGAAACAATAAAAAATAATATTAGTTAGTTTACTTCAAATCAAATATCCATATTTGTTAGTGCTTCGAAATCTAAAGACTTATAAACCTAAGTGTAAAAGTAATACACTAAAAGGGGCAGTCATCTCATTGTTCAAATGAATTAATCATATTTAATGAAATCGTTCTTGTATTGTAATCGATCCAGGATCGAGACTATATAACAACTGCAAAATTTGTGTTTTATTAGTTCAGTGTACGGTGGTCGTTACATCTTAAATAATCTTCACAAAGTCTACACCGGGCGTCGAACCCAGTGCAATGCTCGTTTTATTTCGCCTCGGCTCCAATGTGTCATTAAGTATTAATATTTATAGCCCAAACATTGCTCTTTGATTTAGTTGCTTCGATTGAAGTTATTCACTTACCTTCACAAACCGTCACTGGCTTCTACTCGACATACGCCTCTTCTATATAGAATGATTTATATAATTTTAAGTATGTAATGGACTTTATGTAAATCTATGATCGATACACAGCGTGGATCATAGATTTACATAAAGATTCAATTCGCTTTAATATATATACATATAATACGAAACCAGATGAATGATGAATATGTTATTTTAATAAATACAAAAAAGTAGACACCCATAATATTTTACACGCTAGAATTTTCAATAAGTGAGCCGTGGTAGCTCAGATGGTTAGCGCTCGCTGTAAAGTGACATTACGCGAGCAACTCGGGTTCGATTCCCGCCGGCACCAATGAAATTGTTAATTGGCATTTTAAGTGCTGATTTTCCACGTGCTTGGTGATGAAGGAAAACATTGTGAGTGACACTTCCTTGCCCTAAAACCCTCTCAGAAATGAGAGCAGGAGGAGGTCTGTGCCCAGCAGTGGGACGTACATAACTTTGACTTTAACTGTTATAAAGATTACCACAGTTAAAGAATTATACAAAACTTGTAATAAGTTCCTAAAATTCCCAAATACACCTCCCTATTTTATAGTTTTTTTATTCAGAAAAAAAAAACTAAAACATTTATTATTCCCTTTCATCATCATTCATTGTAATTAGTCATAATTGCTGGGTTTCACTTTCTAACATTAAAGGATTATGAAATAGGAAAATATTTACAACTTATTAGATAGACTACCACGATTCCTTCGTACTATAGTACGAAAATTTGTACTATAATCCTAAATTATTGACCCTCAGATGTAGCAGACATTTTCATCTACATATCTAG